TGTTGCTGGTTGTTCGACAGAACCTGTTTGAGGGCTGCCATTCTTACCGTCCTGCCCATTTAACAGTTCATTTGAGTTGTTCACTACTCCACCGATTGAATTTGTTATTTCCAGTTGTTCTGCATGACCGTCTTGAGATAAAGACTGTGAAGCCTTCGATGGTTGATCTTGTGGTTCAGTAATACCACTACCATCCCCGTCACATCTACCGCCGGCAACGCACCACAGCACGCAGAGGGCACACACCAGCAGCACACGGCCAGTCATCATCATCTGAAGTATCGTTGTTTAATAATGTGAAGTCGACCTGCAAAAGATCCAGAGGGCAAAAAGAGAGACACGGCCGCTACAACACACACACACAGCCCCCCCACAGCAACACACGACAGCAGCCCAGCAGCAGCAGTGCACAAACCATTAAAAAAATGAAAACAGTACACAGCCAAAACTCGCACAACTCCCTGCACACCAGAAGATTAAAAAAAAAAAAACTGGGCTCCGCTGCGCATGCAAACGAGTGTGCCTGAGACGCGTTCAACGCGGCGGATGTGGGGCACAACGCGGAGCACACAGCAGGGCAGCGGAAGCAAAGGAAGCAAAAACACAATCATCATAATTACTCTTACTTTATACATCGGACCACAGTAGACGTCCACATGTCCACGCCGTTGAGTGCTGGCACGCACAACCTGCACATACACATCTTCAGCCCACAGTGGTGTACGCCAGCGCGGATACGGCAAGCAGCAGCGGGGCACACACCCACGCAGAGCTGCTGAGGCTGCCGTCAGTTTCGCGGAGACGTGACGGTGCGCTGGTGGTTGTCGTGGTTGGCGCCTCCGTCGTACTGGGTGCTCTTGTGGTCGTTGTTGTGGTAGTCGTCGTGGTTGGCGCAGTGGCATCGCTATCTGATACCTTCATTATAGCAGTCACACTTGTTGGCTGCTGCGCATCGGCTTTACCTGTCACTTCCAAATTAAGGGGTCTCTCTTTCGCTTTGTTTGCCGACTCAGTGACCCAAGTAGGTGGCTGCTCCGGATTGGTTGTAATTTGTCCCACCGCCGTAACGGGCGCACCATTTTGTGTCTGTGGCGCACTGTGAGATTCTAGTGTCTGTTCCTTATCAGTCGTCGGATTGGACGTCTGACCCGCATTGTTCTGGCTTCCTCCCTTCAGATTATCGGGCGTCCCTGATGTCTGTTCCGTCTCGACTGATGCCTTTGGCGCAGGGGAGTGTCTGAACTTGCAACATCCTGATCCTCATCAACCGTTGTCACGCACACGGACGGGCAGCAGCACAGGGCGAGCACCAACAGGGCGCACAGCAGACGGCACATCATCATCGTGAGTGTGGTCGTTCGGTGGTGTGGAGCTGATCTGCACAGTGAGGGACATGGAGAGCAACAGGGGAGACGAGAGGTGCAGCAGACACACACAGAGAGGGCACACCACATGAGGAGAGGGCAGCAGCCAGGCATGCACCGTACGCCGCACACCACGCACGACACACACTCCAATCCACGGCAGCAGGCACACACACGCAGCCCTGCCGCAACACCAACACACAGATGGAGGAGGGAGAAGCAAACAGGAGTGGCACACAAGGCTCCACCGCATGTGCATACGGCGAGAGCGGTCCGTTTTGTCCGCACCCCTCACGGAGGGTACGCACACACACAAGAGGAGGTGCAGCGCACACAGCAACACAAAAAAGCAAAGTAACAATAAAAAAGGGAATGATCCCCGCACACCACGTGGATTGTTGGTCCACGGGAAGTGCAGCCAACAATTCGGTTTGTGTTGTTCCTGCTTCTCGCCGTCAAATTGTTGCAATAGATGTTTGCTTTTCCTTCCGTCGCTGTGACACCTAATTCCTCACCGTTTATTGCGGTGGGAATGAAAATATGTGAGTGGACTCCCACACACCAGGACGCACCTTCGCTCCTATTTATTGGTGCATGGAAGGGCATGTGTGTTTGGTGGCGTCTCGTCCATATATTCTTCTGGGTGCACATTCCCCTGCAGGCTGAGGGCGGGGTGACGCTCTGTCGCGGTGCACTTCCCTCGCATGCCGCCCACTGTGATTCATCATGCATCACCCTCTTTCACATATTCCGTGGTGCCACACCGTTGATATTATTGCAGCCGCTGTGATTCCGCGTATTTCACGCATTTGATTGTGCCACAATACATCCGCTCGTGTGGCCGCCGCATCCAAACAGCGGTGCCCAACACCGTGAGCGGCAGTCCACATCCTTGCATGCCCCAACGCAGAGGTGTTTGACTGTCAGCCAGGCGACACACAACAGGAGAGTCTTGTGCTGGCAGTACAACACACGGAGCTGCAGTGAATGGCTCGGGCGGCGACGCATCTACTTGTCGCAAAGCAGTGAAAAGGAGTCGGGCAAAATAATGCCGGCTGCACTCACGACACCACATCCACAGCCAAAGCATGCGACGTGATGTGTGTTTCACTGGTGCTGTGAAATGCCTGCAGACGACGTCACTAGTGGAGGCACACCACCCATGATCGGCGGACAGACAATAATCGGCATGGGAGGCCACAAGAGGCAGCAACGACGCCAGCAGCAGGAGCAGCTCTCTTCCTCTCTCTCTCTGTTGCCTCCAAGAAGTAAACATTCCACCAGCCACAGCTGACTGTGCCATCGTGACACTCCATGCACGTCGTGGCTGCGTCAACACATCCTGTTCCCTGCAGCGCCTCAAAAGATGCCTCACTCCGTCCACTAAGTGCATCGATGTGGGCCGTGCCTCGGCTGCTCGTGAGGACCACAACGATGTGAGGGTCACCGAGTCGCAGCATGTTTGTTGTGACGTTGTTGCATGGCACCTGCACACACACACACGCAGCGCCTGCATCCCTCCCTTTGTGTCCGCCCTCTGCCGGAGTGGCCACACACACGGGCAGCAGCAAAATCATTTCCCCCTCGACGATACAAAATCAACACCGACATCCCTCGCGACGCAAACATCTCGGTTGCCAGCACGGGCTTCCTGCCGCCCTGCCATCGACGCTGAAACACGGCACAGTGCACGCACTTATTTTCCCCGTGTGCAGTCAGCCGTTTGCTTCACACATTCTCCGATGGGCTGACGCCCATAAAAGCACGCCACAAAAGGCCACTGTGATCGCACAAGCTCTTGCGATGAGCGTCGGTGTGTGCATGGACCCGCTGCTCACACGTGCCGGCAGGCAGCCTGCAGCCGGTGCCCTCGTGCCAGTTCATCGGCTCCATCACGGAAAGAGAAAGTGGCCTATTCCCGATGCACTTATTCCCACCAGCAGCACCAACACGCTGGGCGCCAGCCGTCATTCCTCAGCACATCCAGGAATGCCGAAAAGTGACGTGGAGCTGCCAGCCAGCAATTCCACAATCCCCGCACACATGTCGGCTCCACCAGAGAAGACACACAAATCACAAGCGACACCCCTCACATGTCATCCGAACACCATTCCGACACACCGCGACACGCCAAACAGAAGTATTCGTCACTCCATGCACCTCCCCACACAATCAAATATTCCACGCACCACGCACGGCAGCAGCTCACACGCACTCAGACAAGTGTTATTCGGATCAGTGTTATCCACGTGGTGTGGTGGGAAGTAAACAAAAGAGACGGGCTGCCAAACCCCAAAAGAGTGCCACGACTGGCCGCAAGTCAATGGAACGCAGCCACTCAAATGAATTCAGTCCTAATGCCCTCAACCTCCCGCATTCTCCCACTAAAACCCCAAGAGACACAAATCAAAGGCATCGTCCAATAAATTCGCTGTGCAACACCAAGTGACGCCGCAGTGCCTCCTGCTGTCATCCGGGGCCGTTGTGGACGCCTTCACGAGGAAAGACACCCACCGGATATTCCAAACGGCGCTGTGCACCTGCGACGCATCCGACGCTTTGGGACGCACGTGCCTCACTATCACCAGAGACGCCCACGCGCCGTCGGACGCCCCACACAATCAAAGACGCAAGTATACGTCAGAGTAGCAGCAAAGCATCCGCTAGCAATCACACCGCAGGCATCATCACAAACAGCACCAGCAGCGCTGCAGTCAACTGTGGGGTGCCATGGACCAACTGACGCATGGCGTATTTGGAGGAAAGAGCGTGGCGGCTTTAGAAGGATACGAGTAGCTGACACTTCCTTAACAGGATGAAAACAATATGGAAACAATAAGACAAATTCAGGCGTCCACAGTCAAAGCAAACCGCCGATCACAAAAGCGTGATGGACGCACTCAACCACAACACAAGTAAAACAATGAAAAAAACAAAAAAGAAAAAACGAAGCGTGGGACGACCAGCGCACACACTCTCATTGCTCCCGTAAAGCCCAACAGGGAGAGAGAGAGAGAGAGGTCGCCCACTCAATGCAATAAAAACAAAACAGAAACAGTTACGGTGCTCCGCCCATGCAGCCAGGCAGAACGGCAGCGGTGCGTCTCGTGCAAAAGAGAGCACCAACGGGCCTGCATGGGTGTGCATGCAATATATACAATGGGCACATTATGTGTGTGCCTCGTGGGGTGAGGTGAGGGCGAGAGTCCATGCAAGGGGACACACACAGAGAGTGAAAGACGAGTGTGTGTGCGGGCGGTGCACGGCTCTCTCACTCACTCTCACGCGGCCACCACCGCAGCAGCAGCCGCACACGCAACAACAAGAAGAAGAGGAGGCAAAAGAGGGGAGGTGGCGTGGGAGACCGCGGTGCTGCTGTCACTGTCTGCACTCGACGTGATACGTTGCATTGCATCGGCGTCGAGTGGTGTTGTCTTCGTGTTATTGTGATTCCTTTCATTTCTTTTCTCTTCTTCTTTCCCCGTGGCGTTGGATTCCGGTGCATTCTTCGGCATCACCTCTGTAATGCCCTTTTCAGCTTCACTATTTGCAGTATCGTTGGCATCTGAGGTTGATTGTGACCCTTCTGTTGGATTTGCTGGTGAATCACCCGCTGGTATTCCCGGTGTTGATCCCATTTCTGCTGCACCGCCCTTCGATGTTTCTGGAGTTGGTGCTGCCACCGGTGTTTCCGCACCAGGCGACAGTTTGTCTTGCGGTGTTGAGGATTCTGCGGCCTCAACTGGATCGCCAGTGTACTTCTTGCAAATCTCCTCGGCTTCAGGGTCATCAGAATCAGTCGACGCCATATTATAATAAACTTCACAAATCTCCTTCATCGATTTATGCATACAGCTCTTAAACGCTGACTCATCCAAAATTCCTCCCTTCGTACTGTTTTCCTTGCATGTCTTATTAGTTTCAGGATACCAAAGTAAAACCATATTCTCTGCCGTATCACTTCTGTCACTAGTAAAACCACCGGCCGCCGACAACACCACCGAAGCACCGCACCACAGCACGCAGAGGGCACACACCAGCAGCACACGGCCAGCCATCATCATCGCCATCACTCCTGTCACTTGCGTGCAGCCTTCAGCACAAACTAACTCCCCGTCAACGCAGAGTGAAAGCAAAAGACACAACCACGCACCGTCCCATCCAGCAATGAGAGTCACACACCACCGCAACAGCAGCTCAAACACCATAAGACATATGGAATCAGTAAAAAAGGTAAAAAACAAAAAAAACGCACAACGCCCTGCAAACCAGCAATTAAAATAAAGCAAAACAAATGCTTAAAAACACACAAACGGTTCCAGCGCGCA